GATCAATCATCCACCAACCAGGTCCTTCGTCATAGACGTTGTTACAATTTCCACATGCGATAGAAAATGTTACAGTATTCTTGTCAATGGCCAAGAACTGTTCAAAACCAAATTTTGCAAGTGAATAGCGTACAAAAAATAATTTTTCAACTGTCTACTATACTATACAAGAGTGGAGTTGATGTATATTTTACAATAGTTGTGATATTTAAAAATAAATGTTTCGGCAGCCTACTAGAACAATACTCGACCAGCAGCCAATGTTTATTTGACTGAATGTCACATCATATTTTGAGCATAAAACAACCCAAAGAATTTTAAAACTAAAACTTCACTGCTTGAAAAAGTTATTACAAAAAATTTTTTAAAAAAACCTTCAACGGAGACCCACAGTTGGGTTGCAATGAACAGGAACCATCTGGTGTATATCTTCATCATTCTTGTCTGTTAAATTCACAATTTTATTTTTTTAATTTTTAAATTCGATATTTCAAATGATAATTATTATTAAAAAATACAACAAAATTCAAAACAGTTTTATTCAAGGTACTGGCCCTAAATTAGGTGTCACGCTTTATAAGGGGACGGGGGCGGTAAAAACAATTTGGGACACTTTGGGACATTTTGGGGCAAGGGGGGCGGAGCAAAAATTTGTGGGGCATTCGGTTTCGGTTTATACTTTTTAATTACAATTTTAAGCTAAAAAACATTTTGTAAGCACATTTTTACAAAAAAAAATGTTTATAACAAAATTTTACTGGTGTTCAGGAATTTGCTTCTCTACAAATCTAAATACGCTCTTACATAGTATCATTGCTATTGGTTGTAGCTGTTTTGAATTTAAAAAACTATTTGCAATACAAATAATTAACATAGCATGTTTTAAAATGTTAGCAACTACTATAGGTTAACTTTTCAGAGCTGTGCACAAGCCTAAATGTAGGAGGGTTAAAATGATGGTAGCCGCTTGTGATATGGAGTTGGGTAGAGAAATGTGAACCATAGACAACGATTGTGAATGGATAGATTGGTAAATACTTTAACACTCTCCTTTCACGACAGGCTTTTTTATCTAAATGTTTGAAACGCATCTCTGGATAAAACTAATGAAGCATCTGGTGAATTGGTAAGCAAAAATTATTATTAGTGGTAGAAGAACTAGTAGAATTAGTAGTAGTAGTAGTGGTAGTAGTAGTAGTAGTAGTAGTAGTGGTAGTATTAGTAGTTGTGGTAGTAGTAGTGGTGTTAGTACTTGCTTTTGCAACGTTTGAAAATGGTATCATTTACATCCAAAACATCTGCTATATCGGTATAAAAAATTACTATTAAGTGGTAGTTTTAGTAGTAGTAGTATTATTAGCAAACCATAAACAGTATACTATATTATTAGTAGTAGTAGTAGTAATAGTAGTAGTTGCTGTTGCAGTATGAGTAATAATAATAATGGGAACTCTTTTATTTTTTCCAAAAAAGGGGCGAAATAAATATTCAATGTAATAAAACAAAATAAAATGAATTAAAATGAGAAAGTAGTCTACGATGCTTGCCATTATAGATATAAAATGCGTACAACGAGAAATGTAATCAGTCCTAATATAGTTATTATACATTTCAATGTCTGTCGCAATAGATGGCGTATGATGGTGATATTACTGAATTAGTTAAATCGTAACATAATTGTTCAGTCCAAATAAAATTTACAAGAGATAGTCATAATGATAATAACAATAATAATGACAATAATGATGATGATGATGATGATGATATTGGAAAGAAGTTATATATATATCAGTTTAATGGTTGTTTGATGATGATGATGATGACGCAAATGGTGATGATGATGATGATGACGATGATTAAAATGACGATGACGAAGACGACGACGTCGCCTTAATATAGTTATTGTACATTTGAATGTCTATCGCAATAGATGGCGTATGATATTACTGAATTAGTTAAATCGTAGCATAATTGTTCAGTCCAAATAAAATTTACAAGAGATAATTTTAAATCATTAAAAAAGCCTAGTGGAAAGATTTCAAATGTATTAATAATAATTTGTT